ATTTAGTACTTGAAGTTCGTAATGGATACAACAGCCTTAGACAGAAAGTTGTCTCTGCAGAGCCACGTCTTCGCATAGCCCCAATATAACGGTACGTCCCGATATTCGGTATTTTGATGATTTTAGCGATATTATCCACTGGGATCGCTTCAAATGTGGTATTTGAAATTCGTAATGGCTACTACAGCCTTAGACAGAAAATTGTCTGTGCAGGTCCACATTTTCTTATAGCCCCCATATAACAGTACCTCCCTGTATTCGGTATTTTGATGATTTTAGCGCCATTATTCACCGGAATTGTTTCAAATTTGGTACTTGAAGTTCGTACTACAGCCTTAGACAGAAAATTATCTCTGCAGGTCCACGTCTTCTTATAGCCTTCATATAATGGTATCTCCCGATATTCGGCGTTTTGATGCTTTTCGCGACATTATTCACCGGAATTGTTTCAAATTTAGTATTTGAAATTCGTAATGGATACTACAGCCTATGCCACAAAATTGTCTGTGCAGGTCAGGTTCTTCGCATAGCCTCCATTAATGATATATCCCGATATTCGGTATTTTGATGATTCTAGCGACATTATTCACCGGAATTGTTTCAAATGTGGTACTTGAAGTTCGTAATGAATACTACAGCCTTAGACAGAAAATTGCCTCTGTAGGTCCACGTCTTCTTATAGCCCCCATATAAGGGTTCCTCCCTATATTCGGCGTTTTGATGCTTTTCGCGACATTATTCACCGGAATTGTTTCAAATTTAGTATTTGAAATTCGTAATGGATACTACAGCCTTAGACAGAAAATTGTCTGTGCAGGCCCACGTCTTCTTATAGCCCACCTATAACGGTACCTCCCGATATTCGGTATTTTGATGCTTTTCGCGACATTATTTACCGGAATTGTTTCAAATTTAGTATTTGAAATTCGTGAGGGATACTACAGCCTATGACGGAAAATTGTCTGTGCAGGTCCACGTTTATTCACCGATTTTTTTCAAGATTCGCATTTGAATACTGTAATGGCTTATGGCAAAATTGCCTATGCAGGTCCACGTCGTCGTCTAGCTACGTTGGTAGCTATAAGATTTTAACAGAATTTTTAACGTTTTTGTTTTTTTTTTTGAAAATAGCCAAATTCTCTCCAAATGGTAGAGGGTATTTAAACTTGTTATTAAAACCAAATTCTGGTCGAAGGTCTATACCTTGGAAATATTTCCTTGGCATTTGGGAGTTCCAAATCCACTCGATTTTGAATATCAAAACACGAGTCTACATCGATAGATTCAGATTCAAAAAAAAAAAAAAAAAAAATTATTTTGAAGAATAATAAAATGCTCTAGTCTCCAGGAAAATGCCACGCCTACACTTAAAAATATATTGACCCAGTTTTTGGCTACATTTTGTCCATTATAATTTTAGAAAATGACTATGAAATGATATGCTCAGTTTGTCTCAAAATTAAATCACTTTGCGGGCAGAACAAGTTGGGAGGCGACAAGTGAACTTTAAACTTCCGATAATGTGACGATTTCTCTGATTCCACAATAAATATTATTCTATGTTTTATTTAAAGGTTCTACTGCTTTGGGGTAAGATTTTAATTTTTCGTTCCATACATCGATACGATTTCTATGAACTCCGATTTTTTTACCCCATTGAAATAACGTTAGAACTTCTTTAAGAGCATTTGAAAACTATTACTGAAGCTTTATTCCGCAACGTACTTTGTCCAAACTCCAAGGAAATACAACTGAATATAATTTCATAGCGTTTAAAAATATTGAAAAAAAATCACACAAATACACTTTAGTTTTCCCAAAAATAGTTTTTGCTATCTCTGTGAAAAATGACCCATTTCACTTAGCTTATCTTAATTATAATAGGCCTTGTTAGGCCTATCACACATATGTATAGTTTTTTTGTTTGGCAAACAGATTGAAAAAAGCAGCGATCAAAACAAATTCGCAAAAACAAAACACTTTCTTCTATTTTTAACATTTCCATTTCGTCAGAATTAGTTTTTTCTTTTTTTTCGGGGGACTACAAAACAAAAACTATGTTGAGTGACTGAATCTAAATTTTTTCACTAAAGTTTAGAAAAAAAATGAAAGTGTTCTTTTTCTGCTACCGCTTTTTTTTTTGTTTTTATTTTATACTATAAAATATTTAATGTCTACTATAAATTATACGCTGGCATAGTTTCAGTTGATTAGTAAGGTGTATTTATTTTGAAACAGGACAAACATTTTGGTAAACAGTTTTCTGAAGAATTTCAACAAAATGCCAGCCCATTTAATTCATAAAAATAAAAATGTATCCGATCAATTTGATAGAAACGTTTGTGACTAACTGACAAACAAACAGTCGACGCAATGGAAAATTTTATGCAAGCCGATGTATGGTGTCATACCAATGTCGGAAATTTAAACGTTAGAGAGCGATTCTGTTATTTGAGTATTTTGATTCATTATTTTGATAATTGTAGCTGATTTTTTCAATGGAATTGTCTGAAAATTCACACAAGGAGTTCCTTCTGAGAACTTTGTCTACACTGGCCCACACTGGCTATTTTGATGATTTTAGCAACATTTTTATCGAAATTTTTTCAAATTTCGTATTTAAAGTGCGTAATGGGTTCTATAGCACATGACAAAAAATTGTGTAAAATTGTGTGTAAAAACTGTTGTCTGTATGTATAGCCCCCATATAACGATACCACCTGATATTCGGTATTTTGATGATTTTAGAGAAATTTTTCATCGGACTCAATTTTCGCTTTTGAAGCTCGTAATGGGTACTACTAGCCCACATATGACGGTACCACATGTACGGTCCACGATATATGCCCTATATTACTGTACCTCTTGATATTCGGAATTTTGATGATTTTAGCCATATTTATTAATGAAATTGTCTGAAAATTAACAAAAGGTGTTCGTTCCGAGTACTTTGTCCCCTGGATGGTAGGTTCACGATATCGCATATCCCCCATATAACTGTACTTCCCGATATTCGGTATTTTTATGATTTTAGTCACATTTTTCAATGTAATTGTTTCCAATTTTGTATTTAAAGTTTGTAATGGGTACTACAGCCGATGACAAAAAATTACGTATGCAAAACCACGCCTTCGTACAGTGTGAGATACAAAAACTGCAACACTGTCAAACGCCATAATTTTTACATTTTTGTAATTTTATTGAATGAAAGCAAAAAATGTCGGAAATATTATCAAATCTTAGAATAAGTTTAGATTTGTTTGAATTGGTCACCTTTAGCATCACACGCTGCTCGAATGTTGCTCTGCGGTTTTTTGGCTCATTCCCGGCGAAGCGCTTGCTTGAGGAGATCGACATTTTGGTATTTTTTAGTACCAACCTTACTTTCTAAAATACTCCAGACACAATAGTCCAACGGATTGGTATCCGAAGATTTTTGTGGCCATTGTGCGCTGGAAATGAAGCGAGGTACCTCATTTTGTAACCATTCTTGGGTGGAGCGCGTGTTGAATGCGATGGTGCCGAGTCCTATTGGAATGTCCATGGTCAGCGACCAAAATGTTTACGTGTCCAAGGCTTAAATACACCCTCCAGAATATTTTCACCACAATATTCGGCATTTATTCTGATGCCACGGTCGATTAACATCAGATTAACATCGGCTGTTATGGCGGCCCACACCATCACCATGGCCGGCGCTTGAGTTCTGTTGGCCAACGTAAGGGGCACATTTTCAGCTGACCACTTTGGCAAGTAAACACGATCATTTTGTTTGTTTACAAACTGCTTGACAACGAATGTTCTCGGATCGGAGAAAACTAAATCCGGCAGTTCACCACTTTTGGCCAAGCGAAGTCACTATTTAGCTCTTTTGAGTCTATCTTTCTGTTGCGGTGTAAGTTCTTGCACTTTTTGGAATTTCAATGGCTTTATCACGAGCTCATTTTTAATATTTGCCGAATGGAATATTGCCATATGTTCAGCTCACAAGCCATTTTTCGGCCACTGCGTGCCAGATTTGCATACGATCTTGGCAGCAAAAAGTCCACCTTAAAATTTTAGATTCGTTACAACATTTCGAAGTAATAATTTTAGACCTAAGAAAGTATTCTTGATCAAAATTTGACTACGATTTTACCTTGTCCGTCCGTATGTCCGTCTGTTGTAATCACGTTAGAGTCAAAACGAATTAAAATAGGAAGCTAAAATTTTTTGCATAGTTCAGTCTTTTGTCTTCAGGCAAGACAAGCTCGAAAATGGACTAAATCGGTGCACGGCATCGTATAGCCCCCATATAACAGTACCCCCCCGATATTCTGTATTTGATGATTTTAGCCACATTTTTCAATGGAATTGTCTGAAAACCTACACAAGAATTCCCTTCTGAGTACTTTATCCCCTGGAAGTGAAGTGTCTATATTGGTCCACGATATCGAATAGTTCCCATACAACGACACCCCCCGATATTCGCTATTTTGATGATTCGCATTTAAAGTTCGTAATGAGTTCTACAGCCTATGACAAACAATTGTGTATGCAGGTGCTCGTCTCCGTACACAGAGAAAAAAATTAACCTTATACAAGGTTAGCTTAACCATAAATAAACATGATTTGGAGTCTACGTTATGTAAGGTTAATTTAAACATTTTCTTGTTGACTGGTATTTAAAAATAATCATCGTTAATTTAGCTATTCCATGATTGACTTTTTTAACCACGAAAATTGTTGATATTGAAAAAAAAATTGTTGTTTTAACAATGCACTGTTAAATTTTTGTAACCATGAGAATTGTTAATAATAACATTTCATAGTCAGTTTGTCTAAACAGTTTATGTTTAATTTAACAATAAAATTGTTAATGCTATTAACTATGAAGATTGTTATTTATACATTTTTTATAGTTCAGTTAACTATTTATTGTTCACTTCTTTTAACGAGAAACAATTCATATGATAATTTTTAATAATAAATTAACCTTTGTTTGAATAAAACAAGAAAAATTTAATTTTTACAAGTTCATTTATTGTTTATTTATAAATATCGCTTATTTCTAAAATATGTATTTCCATTACAACTAGTGTGTATATTTAAGGGAGGGCTGGTAAAAAAAGATATATGTTTAATATAAATTTTATTTTTTAACGCCTTACCGATTTTGTAGGCTTGAAAATGATTGTCGAATTCAATTTCTATTGGATAGCAAACAACATACAAATCGTCGTTTCTGTTCAAAAAAAACTTAATTTTAAAAAATTTACAGAGATTATTGTGGTACGCAGAAATATAATTATTAATTTTATATTCCTTCCCTTTGTACAGAATTTCTTCAATCAAATTAAACATTAAATTGTACTCTTCTTCTTCTATATCTGAATCTATTAATTCATGGAAATTCGGAAATGTGCTGAGATCTGTATTTTTTGATTGTTTTATTAATTCAACAGTAATAGGAAAACCACTTTTATAACGCAACAAAAACTCAGAAAACTTCAGGCAGGCTTTATTACTCAATGTTAGAGGAGGGTTTAATCTTGAAGTTATACACCGCGAGTACACTTTCGATGGACGATGTTTTGCCTCGAATCTCATCGACCACAAATTTTTAAGGGGGCCACATTTTTTAATTGCTGTCGGATAATGAGTAAGAAAATGGTGCTTTGGTTTGAGTGTTTGTCCGAAAAGTGTTATGTATAAAAAGTGATGATCTTTAATGAGTTTTCTTAAATGTTGTATTTCATTATTTGAAAATGTTGGTTGCAAACTTACATCGACAATTTCTATCAGCAAACACAATAGTTTCCAAAACTTATTGTTCACGGGTACTAAGTCGCCTATCATTAAGGTTATGAAATGTGTAAATGACCAGCATTCGCGTGCAGACATTGTCATCTTATTTTTTTTCAATTTTGTAATGTCAAGGGCAGGAGATATGTTTCCAACTTCTTGGTCTCCGTATTGAAACAATTGTTTTCTTTGATTTATCTGTTCCAATGTGACAATATTTTCTTCAATTAAGCCAAGTAATATTTGACATAAATCATAGATGCAAACGCCTTCAAATAAGTCATGCATTATATCGAAGATAAAGTTTTCTGTTACGTGAAAAGTTTTTATATTGTTGAATACAGAATTTTCATGTATACCACTATCTTGATTATTACCTAGATCTATATCTTGCTCGTAGTTAAGTTTATTACGGAGACTGTTTATATTTTCATTGCAATTATTTTTGGTTTCATTTTTATTCAATTTACAAATTCTACAAAACGAGTATGCGGAGAAACTTTTAGAAAATCCTAATATAGTATTGACACCAAGATTATCACCTGCAACACCACCAAGTACAAAATGAACGCGATAATTTGTGTCATTTACATATATATCCAAGCCAATTTCTTCGAGATATTTAACTTCGTTAACAAGGTGAATGAATGTTTTTTCGTTGCCTAATGCTTTGTAACTGCTTGTCTTAATAAATCCAAAATGAAAAATAAAATCTAATTTTGATTGTAGGTGTTGAGGGATATTAGGAAATATATAGTACGCTGCGCATATAGAATATTTGTGTGAACCTAATGGATTGTTTATTTCGTAATCATCGAAATATAGTATGAAAGGTATAACATATTGTTTCTGCATATTAATAAGTTTGGTTCGAAAAATTTCACCGCATACAAAGTTAGACAATGTGCTACTTTTAATTGATTCGTCTATGTTATTAAGGGTTGAATGCAAAATATTAGGAAGTTGGAAAAATTTCTTAATTTGAAATCGAATTGGCATCATATAGTAATTTAAGAAGACTGGTCGTAAATCAGGGTTACCACGGGAGACTTTTGGCTCTATTGTGTTTGATAAAAGAAATGGTTTTGCTGACTGATATAAATTTTCTTTTTCAATGTACTTCAAAAATTTGTATTCATTTTTAAAATTTTTGAATGGATTCAAACATAATTCAGATACAATTTGTAAAAGGTCACTACTCAGAGAATTCATACTAATTTCTGTAATTATACTTCCCAATGGCATCAAAATTTCTGATACAGACTCCTGAATTTGCCTGACATCCTTACGAGCTAAGTTATCCTTGCAATATAAATGCAACAAAAATTGTAAGGTACGGGTTTTTATTGCATTTATGTAATTAGAAATTTTTTCCAAATCTATGTTGATCATCAACTCAGGATTACTGCACTTTTCTGTTACAAAGTTTTTCTCGGTATTTATTTGAGCCAATTTTCCTAAATGCTTTTCAGACACATCAGCTCCTGGCGAATTTTTTATATGTACTTTAAGTATATGATTTCGAAAGGCTTTCAGGTTGTTGAAAATCTGAAAGCATTCAGGTTGAGCGCACTGTATTTTATCCAATGTGGTTATAAAGTGGTTTTCCTTTAAATGTGTTACTAAATCTTTTATACTGTTATACATTTTTGAACATTTAAAACAAATTAAAGTCATTTTCAAAGTTTAATAGAAATTAGTGTTGTCAGTGTTCGTGTAAATAATTTATCAGAGAAATAATCGATGGAGATGATTTATCAAAAGGTGTAGTAATGTTATAAAAAAATTTTTGAATAAAGTACCAAACGCCTTCACTGGCTTTAGGGTAACTTAAATTAAGTACGTTAAATATTTTGAAAGTTACGTCGACACATTCAATGTACGAGTTTAAGGAATACAATACACTATCAAAATATATAAAAAATTGGTTAATGTTTAACATACTTGCTCCGACAACTATAATAATCGGTTGTAATGTATTGGATGAAGCGTAATATTTCTCCTTGAGTCCGTTTATTTTCACTTCGTAGTCACTTAAGTTGGTAACATGCAACGTCAAGCTCTCCTGTGCGTCACTGATTGTGAACTTTTTTAAAACATTCCCATCTTGGCTTTTAAAACGAGCGGTAGGCTTGATGACACTGTTCAAAAGTTTTATGACCATGTAATTGACACTGTCTGTAAGTTAACATTTGATTTTAAATCCATAAAGTTACAGCTTAAATGTATTTTTATTAACATTTAGTTACCTTTGTTCGATAGTTGTTTGCACAATGCTAGTTCTTCACGGGATGCTTGGTCTTTGATGTTGCTATTGAAAAAATCTATGATACGGTTGATAAACTTCTCCCATTTGGAGTATAGGAGATTCTCACTGTCTGGATATAATAATTTGAAATCGCTTTTAATCTGGAAAAGTTTAAGATTTTATGTTAAAATTTTGTATGCGTATCTTACTATTATTTAATGTAATAAAGGACCCTAATCAGGAAATTTTGAAATATTTTCTTAATTGTGGCATAGTGTAATTTATGTACCAAAACGTAACCGAAAGATTGTTTGTAGCCCGGCCAATGATTCAGAAGGACTACGTTGCTTTTTGCTGCTTTTATGTCTTTTTTACGAATAGGAAACGTGGTGACCCAAAATTCAGATGCCTTTGTTTGATTGCAGCTGTTCGACAAACATTTAGACACATCTGTTCTTAATATTTCTTTCAAAGATGACAGAGTTTTTTCGTCTATTTCATCTTCTTCACTTGATTCGTTTATTTGATTCGACAAGGAGCGACCGAGAACTTTACGACGTTTGCTTTTTAAATTATGATACTTATCATATAGCCTCCCACTTGGATTTTTGCGTGGTCCACGTGGAATAAAGTAAAAATCCTACAAATCGATAAAATATAAATTTTTTTCAATAAATTATTATGGCACAAGGTTCCAGAAGATTTTTATTTTTTGTTATGTAAAGCTTTTCAGCTTACAATTTAGAAAAGATTTACAAAAAATTTTAAAAATGTTCCGGAATCTCATGACTGTATACGGATTGAAGCTTATACCTTATTTTCGTTCGGAAATAGACTAAGTATTTGTTCGCAAATTAATGTGAAGTCAGAAATATGCAATATGCAATTGCTCGTGACAACTTCTTCTAATATAATGGAAATTATATCATGTCGGTGAGATTCTAACAACTGATTGTTTTCCGTATAGTAATCAACAATTGCTCTTCCTTTACCGCAAGATCTTAAAATCTGTGCAATGTCATTGAAACCCTACGGAGAAGATGTTAAGACAATATGGGCAATTTAAATTTTTTAAAGTTATACTTTTGAATTTGCCGGCGAATTCAGCCAAGTCCCAACTTTGCTGTGTACGGATAACGTTTCATTACTTTGTGGACACTATGGATTCAAATGTATTTAAATGTATTCTAAAATAATATTATAGTTAAACCCACAATTTTCTCCTTCCATAAAAATAATTTCTCTCTGAATCGAATACGTTTTCCTAGTACTGGAATAATTTCCTTTAAGTCCTCATTAGTTAAGTGTTTCAATTCGTTGATTGTGATTTCGTTTTCTGTTAATCAAATAAGTTCACTATTCTGGAGAAATAAATAAGTAAAAAATACCAACCTTGCAACACACTGTACATTTCTGGGAACTCCCATTCATCCAAGAGTGATTTTAACTTACATTCCTCAGCCATAGTGAAAAAAACAACAAAACACCAAACACCGACTGCAAATACAGAAGAAGAAAGTAGTAGTTAATAAAAACAAATAGTATTGTCACAACTTACCAAAAATGTACGCACGAGCACCCAAAAAAAAAGACACCAGAAAAAGAACAACTGAAAGAAAAAACAAAAAGATATACATAAATATTTATGAACACTGTCGCTTCAACAACAACAACAACGTACATTTGGTGACAAATGCATACGCTAATGAACGGCGCAGCAGCCACAAGCAAAGACAAAAAGAACACATATGTATGAAAAAACACTCACACATTATTTCTTTCCTCATTTTTGCTTGTCGCTGCATATACGTTGTTTGTTTCTTTATTGTAATTTATAGTTTATTTGATAGACAAATCTGATACAATTTGAATATAGCAATAACACATTACTATATTGAAATAGTATCAGGGTTTTCTATTAAAACAAATACAAATTACAATAAAAATATTTGTTAATTTCAGTTTTTACTTACCTTTATATCAAGCACTATTCCCACGAGCACGTGCACTGCTCCCTTGCACTATTCAACACCAACTAAAGCAGAGATTGTCTATTTGATCTTTCTTACACATATTCAGACCACAGAAAGAGATTCGATAAAGAGAAGGAGGGGGAATATGACAGTCACATTCGTTGCAACTTCGTATATTGCAATATTGAACTTCGTCAAACACAAAGCAGTTCAAAATTTTTGACCACAACAGAGCCGAAGGCTCTTTAAATTTTTATGTATCTCTCACATTTTTCCGTCTCTCTCAAAAAACAACAACCTTATACAACGTTAATTCAACTATTTTTCATATACATTTGACCTTATATAACGTTATTTTGTCTTTGTAATCTCAAACATTTACCATGAAAAAATTAACCATGCACATGGTTAAAAAAGTCATTGTATTTTCGGCTCTGTGTATAGCCCCCATTTAATGATACCTCCCGATATTCCATATTTTGATGATTATAGGGACATTATTCACCGGAATTTTTCAAATTTCGTTTTTGAAGCTCGAAATGGGTACTACAATTTGGAAATTGTTAAAGTTCCTTCAAAATGGTGGAGGGTATTAAAAGATCGGCTCGGCCGAACTTATCTGCTTTTTTACTTTTTATTCCTTATTAAATTTGAAGACAGGCTTTGAAGATTTTATTTTTGCCAGTTATCGTATTATCTAATTTGACTAACCCAGCCCTATCCCTTCACCCAATACCAAATTTAGTACCACTTAGAATTTTTCGAACAATTATAGTACACAATTTCAATAATACCTTCATATCGTAACCACATCTATATCAAATTGCAGGCTTTAAGCTCTTTATGTACTTTTCGTACAATTATAATGCAGATACCAATAAATTTGAGGATTTCAACCATATCCTCTCACCTAATACCAGTTTTAGTACCATTCAGTACTTTTTGTACAAATACAGGACGCATTTTCAAACCACTGCCGAATCTCAAACACAGATACTATTTCATCAAATGTCAAAGCTTTATCTCTATCCCTCCATCCAATACCAAATATAGTACCGTTCAGTACTTTTCGTATAATTATAGTATATGTTTTCAAAACCACCTCCATATGTCCAGGTTAGACATGATCTTCAGATTTCATGCACTATCTGTTCGCCCTATACCAAATTGTACCAAATATAGTACTATTTACTACTTTCGTGCACTTGTAGTACTCATTTCCAAAACAATCTCTTTATCACAAATCAACCACCAAAAGGGACACCAATGCAAAATTTCAAAATTTAGGGGTCGCAATGTCCTTCGGGGTTCTTAATATAACAAAGCCTTTTGTTTCCCAAGAGGAGTTTACCATCGTCAGACTTTGAACGCCATTTTGACAAAGAGTTGTTACACCACTTTCCATGAAGTTCAGGGCATCAATTAAGTCTTATATATATGATGTTTCAATGATATCGGGAACATATTACGGCTCTCAGGTAGCTCAAGAGTGTAATTAGGAGATTAAAGTTAATTTCGATCGCGTTTCGTTAATTTGAAAAGTTACCTTAATTCGTTGTCATTTATTTTATTAATCATTGACTCGCACTCACTCGTATTTATAGTTACTGTGTCCTGCGCTGTTTACATGCAAAGTTTTGTTAGCATATGTGTGTATGCTCACTGATGAATAGACGTGCTTGCCATTTCGTTGGAATATATTAGAATAGAATAGAATAGTAGAATATTTCGGATTTGGATCCTCAACGCTTAAGAGTTATAAATACGAGTGAGCAGGTGGCCAGCCAGTCACTTCAGATTTCTTAATTAAACGTCGATAAATTAAGAGATAATGTAAAGGTGTGTGCTAAATAGAGTAAGAGCTATTTTGTGAAGTGTGTAAAGAACTGATGTAGCCATGGGGATCAGGGTCCCGTAGGTATTTTTCAGAACAGTTTGAGTGAAAAATTTCGTGTTTTGGCTTTTGACCCAAAAGTTGCTGGTGTACAGTTACGTCGTGTGTGAAATTTTGAATAAAGCATTGTTAAGATGCCTGGAAACTTTTATGTCAATATCACATTTTTCCGAACTTATTTCTATTGCTGAAAAGAAAATTTAATTTTTATTCTCTATCGAAAAGTGCTCATCAAGTAGTGCATGTTTCTACCGGATCTGACCATAAAAGCGATATTTTCCAATGAAACCCAAATTTGCACAATTATTCCATTAATTGGGGTTAGATCTTATGCACACTGATACATGCACACACAAACACACACACACAAACAAAATGCTAGAGAAAGAAATTTATGAAAAAAATACATATAATACGTTTATGCTATTTGTTAAGCAATTATCGGAGAAACGGGCGAAAACAACAACCGCAACAGCAGCAATATCAGTTGCCAGCAGTCATTGCACCCTCCATCCATCGATGTATGTATGTGTGTGAGTGTGTGTGTGTGCGGTATGTATGATGTGAGTACACTTCTAATCTGTCTCTTTTTTGTGCCATTTGTTTGCCACAATCTTGCCAATGTTCAAAAATACAATGCTGTTTTTTGCGAGCGTTAAATTTATTGTTGTTTCTCAAGAGTTCAATGACACTTGACGCCAAAAACTACATCGGCAGCAGCAGCAGCAACAACGCTAGAAAAAACGCACACATGTCTCATAGGTTCCACAAGAGGTGCTGGTGGCGGTGCCGGTTCCGATGCCATTGTTGGTCGGTTCTGCCGGGTGCTACTCATGTATTTGTATTTTTTTCTTGAAAATTCTAATTGTTGTTGTTGTATTCTTGTGAAATGCTCTTGCAAAAAAAGATCCCACAACCCACTCAAACGCAACGACGCAACGATGATCGTCAAAGACCTAAATAACAGCCAGTCATAAAAAATATAAGTATGAATGGTTGAGTGAATAAGACGATAGTCAACCAGCCGCACACCCAAAATATGTTTCTATGCACGAATCACACCATCATAAAATTGAAAAAAAAAAAAAAAACAAAGCAGAACTAATTTTTTGTCAGTTTGTTGTTTTTAAATTATGAAAAAATGCAGAAATTTATTTTGTGAGGATCATTGTTAAATATTTGAAGCTTCTGCCTCTAAGGGTAAAAAAAGGGATACTAAGTTGAAAACTAAAGCCTTACCATTTTTGCCTTCAACAAAGGAATCAAATCGATTTTATATATATCTATAGTTTCCGTATATGTATTTTGCCTGAAGAAAAGAAAATTAATGGTTCCATAAAATCAGATCAAGTTTCACTCTCTACTCGAATTCGGGCGGGTGTATTCCTGAGAGTACACAGGTAAAAAATAAGCTAAGTTAAAGGAACTTGAAAATTAAAAAAAAAATCAGTAGAAAATTACCTCTCACATGAAACCCCTTATATGGGGCTTTACGAAGACGTTTTCCTTCATAAGAAATAGGCTGTAGAATCCACTACGAACTTCAATTACGAAATTTGAAACACAATTATAATACGCATTTGCAAAACCACTTGCATAGCATAATTTCACATACCAACAGATACCTCAATGTCAAATTTCTAATTTCCAGCTCTATACCTTCACCCAATACCCAATATAGTATCACTTAGAACTTTTCGAACAATTATAGTACACAATTCCAATACTATCTTCATATCTTAACCACCTAAATCAACAATGATATCTATATCAAATTCCAGGATTTCAGCTCTATTCCTTCACCAAATTTAGTACTATTTAGTACGTTTCGTACAATTAAAGTACACATTTCCAAAACCACCACCATATGTCTATTCCATATACCAACAGAGATTTCAATATCAAATTTGAGGATTCCAGACCTATCACCTCACCCAAAAAAATGAGTACTCCCCGTACAAATATAGGAAGCATTTCCAAACCACCGCCAAATCTTAAACATATATACCATCAGTAGTCCAAATATCAAATTTAAGATTTTTATCTCTATTCCATCAGCTAAATTGAAGGAATTTAAAAATTTAAAAAAAATTCCGGCAAAAATGTCGCTAAAATCATCAAAATATCTAATATTGGGAGGTACCGTTCTATGGGGGCTTTACGACGACGTGGACCTGCGTAGACACTTTTTATACCCTACACCACATAGTGGTAAGGGTATTATGTCTTTGTGCATTTGGTGATCAGCATAGAACCATAATTTGAGTCGATTTATGCATGTCTGTCCGTTCGCCCGTCCGTCTGTCCATGTATTTTTGTAAACAAAATGCAGGTCTCATTTATTATTCGATTGAGATGAAATTTTGCAAAAGTCATTTGTTTGGCCCAAGGACGAATCCTATTGAAATTGGAGATAATCGGTAAAAATTTAGATATAGCTCCCATATATATATATTCGTCCGATTTGCCTTTTTTGTGCACCAAACGTATAATATCAGCCCAAATAGTATGGAATTTTGCACATACAATCAAATTAGGCCTGAAAAAAAGTATGACAAATTTGATCGAAATTGGTTCATATATAGCTATAGCTCCCATATATATTGTTCAGCCGATTTGTTATTTTTGTCCTCCGCAGCCGTAATATGCACTCTGTAACAACAATATTTGGGGAAATATATCAAATACAGCTCAGAAATGCCTTTACTAAATTTTATCAAGATCGGTACAGATTTGGATATAGCTCCCATATATATGTAACTTCGTCCGATTTACCTTTTATTGTGCACCAAACGTCTAATATTTGCTCAAATGGGATGGAATTTGGCACTTACGACCAAGCTGGTATGTCAATTTGGTGAAGATCGTTTCAGATATAGATATAGCTCCCATTCATATTTTTCATCCGATTTGTTATATTTGTTACCCACAGCCGTAATAGGCGCTCCGTAAAAACGATATTCAGGGAAATATATCCAATACAGCTCAAAAATATCTTTGCCAAGTTTTATCGAGATCGGTTCAGCTCCAATATATATCTTTATCCGATTTCAAGTTAATTGTGCACCAAATGGGCAGTACAAGCCCCAATTGAAAAGATACAAATTCTTCGGCAAATTTAGTCCTTTGAACTTAAATTATATTTTTAATCATAGCTTGTATGATTTAGTTATCCCACAAAAACTTTTAATTGTTATGTGAAGCTCTACTAAAGACTTTCTTTACTGGTTTTATCATACATTGTAGTACCCATTACGAACTTCAACTAAGAAATTTGAAACAATTCCTGTAAAAAATATTGTTAAAATCATCAACATACCGGCTGTCATATAGCCCCCATATGATGGGAGGTATCATCATATGGGGGCTATATGAAAAAGTGGACCCATGGCCCGAACTTAACCTGCCTACTGGCAAAATACATATGTGTGCAAAATGTTAGCCTTCTATCTCAGTTCATTCGAAAGATGCCGTGA